AGGAGATGATTAACATTGTCAAACACTGCTAGTAGGCCTAGTATAGTGAAAAGTTGTCCTTAGATTTAGCAATTGGTTTTTAATTTTTAATATTGAAAAGAAACGTGGAGTGGTACAAACAAGTTGACTTGGAATAGGTTCAAGAGAGAATCAGAAGAACTAAATGCATTAACCATTCATAGCTCTTTTTAGAGAGTCATGAATGCAAAGGAAAATAGGAGGAATGGTAAGGTCAGTATAGCTTTTTTTTAATGTGAGAGAAACTTTTGAAGTTATAGGACCAATCTAACAGATACAAAAGAGATGCTGAGTAAATTTCTGGAAAGATGTCCTCAAGCAGTCAAGATGGGATGGAATAGGATTCAGTAGACAGAGAAGGGTTGGCCTTCAGCAGATGCACAGGGAGTGCATTCATATGACCCCACTCACACCCTAGAAAACAAGGTAGAGTGTGTGGGTGTAGCTGCAGCTGGTGGGAGCACATGAGGGACTATCACTTCTGGTTTTTCTCATTTTGTCAAAAATGAAGGTCCAAAAGGTGTGCATTTGAGGAGAAAGTATAAGACCTATGTTATTTAAGATGAACAGTAGGAAAGTAAATGTACTAAGGAGATGTGGTAGTACTTCCTGGAAGCTCACTTGAGCTTAAATGTCATAACCTGAGACAAAAAAGTATGATTTTATGTTCTCTCTCTAGCTTAGCAGCAGAGTATGTTGATAGTTGGGTTTAAACTAGTGGGATTTGCAGCCAATGAAACAACTGAGGATTAATTTAAACATAGGAAGAAAGTGCAAGCATGTTTTATCTTCAACAGTTTCACTTGTTATATAAATTTAGTCCCCCAAAGTGAAAGGTTAAACCAAGTCCTATAAATAATTGAAGCCTCTTTCTCCCATTTATTGTTGCTAGTATATGGATTTTTGTAGACCTGAGGGTCCCTAGAATTGGAATTGAGTGTAGAAACTAGAGATGTAAGACAAAGAGGCTGGGCAGCTAAGAGGGCATTGAGGAGAGTTGAAAATACTCCTGAGACTGGCACCAGCCTCAATGAATGATTGTTATACTAAAATCTGGAGACTGATGGAAGCCACAAGCTAAGCCCCAGACCCAAATGTCCAGTGGAAATGGCACTGTAGAGAGCCTCTTCACCCATTGGTTCTGATCTCACTTGCACATCTTTTCCTCTTGATGTGTAGAGAAAGCAGGTGTCTTTTAGGGCTGGGTGCCCCCTTTCTGTGGGGTGGCCACCTGCACACTTGGTCTCTGCACTGGGTTTTGACTCTTTTCTTATCTGATCTGGGATAGTCATTTCCCTTTCCTTCAGTGGCATCCTGTTTTTCCTTCTCTTTCCAGGTTCAACTATTTCTGCTATTTCTCCCAAATCTTGATGATCCCTAAGATTACATATTCAACATACTACTTATTTTATATGCTTCCTTGGCAAACTTACCTGTTCACACAGTTTTCATAACCATATATTTGATTATCATTTAATATGGCAATCTTATATTTCCCTTACATTTTCAGAATCTTGAAAATGCATGCCAAGGGTCCTCAATTGTCTAACATGGAATTCATGACCTTTTACTTCAAGTACAGGCATTCTCCTGCATTCATTCTTACCAATCTTTTAGTGTCATAGATCATCCCTAGTTTCTTACATGCTCCCAATCTAATCAGACAGTAATCTTAGTGATTTTATCACCACATACTATGTTATCACCTCCCTGTTCCTTATTGATCTTTTCCTGCATTATAGCTTTAGGTCCTGGAATAGTCTTCTTTTTGTCTTATTCTAGAATCACACTGGAGCCAGAATGATGTCCTTAAAACTTACATTTCTCCCAGTTTAAAATTGTACTGAATGAGCAGGTTATACAAAGAATCTCAACATTGGCCCATACTTATCCTTACACCTCCTTTGAATTCCCTCTATCATACACTGTATCCTTGATTTTTTTTTAATCCACTAAGCACACTGCACTGCCTTTCCTTTACAAGTGTTTACAACAACTCATCTTCCTTTGGCTACAACACCTCCCTTTTCCAGCCACTGGCTTTCCTGACTTAATTGTTAACGGATGCTCAGGACTCAGTTAAGATAGAATTTCCTCTAGAATGCATTTTCTGGCGGCTGTAAGCTGAATGAGACAACGTCTCAACCATGGCAGGGAGCCCATAGCTTCCTGAATCTCACTGAAGCCTGGAGAAATACTCCATTCACCTCTGTGTCCCTAGCACTTGGCACATACAAAGTTCACAGTTGTGTTTGCTGAATGCATGAATAAATGAATACATTGCCAGATTTCTAGTAACAGCTTTGAGTTCACATTAATTGATGGAAAGAAAACCTCTACTGCAACAGATGCAACTGATTACATAACAAATGAAGCCTTGGTGTGGAGCACAAGGCCAAATTACCATTTGGCTCATCTCTGTATGAGTGGTATAAGCCAATTTCTGTATCTTCTGGACAGTGTGAAAGTTGTCTGTGTGTATACATGTACGTACATACACAAGTACATGTGTACACACATATACTGATATACACATATACACATACGTATTTTACAAACACAGTGATGACCCTGGCTTTTTCAAACCTCATTATGGTCTTTTTATTTTTCTACTGATTGTCTTTATCTAGCTTTAAGAACTGTAAACCATATTCTCATATTTTAATATTTAACAGAAACCTGAGGTGGTTCTTTTTCAAAATAAATGAGCAGGGCAGGCATTTAAAACACTAAACAGCAGATTGCTCTGAGAAATGAATAGGTTTAGAAACTACAACTACAAAGTACCTTAAAGGAAAACTCATTCTCTTTTCATTACCTTACACCTCTTGGTGCCCAAACCTGCATTTAATTCCAGGCTTTAAAGGAGATTTTATGTGTACCCATAGTCTGTAGCTGTTTTTAGATAATTTTATCCACCTTCACCAGACTTGTGGTTGAACAGCAAAGACTAAGGAACATGAACCTCTAAACTCCTCATAGGTTTGGACTACACGTATCATGCCGATTGCCGATTTTAAGTATGAAAAACATCTAAAAATATATATTTTTGAATTTCAGAGAAATCATATTTACAGTTTCACAGTATAGAAAATGCTAAACTTAATGTGATGCTTAACACTTAACGTGTTATTTTCAAATCACAGAAATGCTTCTTGCATTCCAAAATATCTTTATGAGACAGTATAAAGATTCTAAGTAATTTTAATTATGAGAAAGCTTATTGACAAACTTTTTATCTTAAAATATTAGCAGCTATTGAGTTCAAATGTCAGATACTCTGAACAAAACTACTTAGTTCTCAGAAATATTTCCAAGATCAATAAATAGTCCAGTTAAATTGATATTAGGCATAAAAAATCCTCTTCATAATTGCTCATTTTTTTCAGCACTGAGGATTGAACCAGAGCATCTTCACTGAGCTACATCTCCAGCTGTTTATTTTGTATCTTTTATTTTGAGACAGAGTTTCATTAAGTTGCCCAAGCAAGACAGAGATTTATAATCCTCCTTCCTCAGCCTCAAGTGTGTCTACTATTAGCACCATTACCATTGTTCAGTATTGTAGCCAGACAGATTAGGCAAGAGACAGAAATAAAAGGGATACAAATAGAAAAGAAACAAGGCAAAATTATCCTTAAAGAGGACATAATTTTTTATACAGAAGACACAAAACTCTTCATCAAAAGACTCCTAGAAACTAATAAATTCAGCAAAGTAGCAGGATACAAAATCAAAAATCAATAGTGTTTCTGTACATCAATATTGAACCCTTCAAGAAAGAAATTAGGCAAACAATATCATTCATAACAGCTTCAAAAAATTAAATGCTTAGGAACTCAGCTAACCAAAGAAGTGAAAGACATGTATAATGAAGATGTTGATCATCAAAAAAATCAAAAAATAACAAGTTCTGGAGAGGCTGTGAGGAAAAAGGAACACTTCTACATTTTTTGTTGGGAAATAAACTAATAACCCACTATTGAAATTGAAATGGAGATTTCTCCAAAAAATAAAAATAAGTGTTTCATTTGACCCAGGCATTCCCCTTCCAGGTGTCTTCCCAAAAGAGTTAGACATCATATTACAGTGATTCAGTCATAACCACAATTTTAGTAGCACAACTCATAATCAATTTTGGAAATAGCCAATATGTCCATCAAGTGATGAATTGATATAGAAAATATGCTGTTTATACACAATGGACTACCATTGTGTATAATGTCTGCCATTAAGAATAATTTTGAATCAGTTTTGGAAAATGATGCACCTTGAGATCATAATACTAAGTGAAATAAGACACGTGAGCCTAAATGGAATATCTTATATCAGAAATCTAAAACATAAAGATTTAAAGAGCAAAATGAAAGATAATAGAAAACAGGAATATAGATCTTTTGCAAAGGAGAAGGAGACCTAGAGATGGAAGGAGGTGAGAAGGGATAGAGGAAGGAGAAATAAAAAGAATTAAGATGTGTTATATACATGTATCAATGCCCCACAATGAATGTAATAATTATCTACTGTAAACATATACAAATAAAAATGAAAGAATAATAAAAAATAGTTCTAATATACAGGGAATGCATATTGTGATAGTAAGGAAAATTCAAATGGTTGACTCCTAAATAGTCCTGTCCATGAAAGGGTGAGCATTTTGATAGCCTTGCTTCCTTAGTTCCTTTTCTTCTATTCCTTCCCTCTCTTCTTTCTCTTTCTAGTACTCTTTTCTTCCCTATTTCCTCCTTAATACGGATTTTCAATCTCCCTTTCTTACTGAAGGCTATTAAAGCCAGTTGAATATTTAAAAAGATTAAAAAATATATAAGTAATATTTAATATTTTTCTACTCTTGCTGGAGTTTGAATTTGATTGCAAGCTCAAGGATAATTTTGACAATATCTGCAGAATAAACCGTTTTTACTGGTGGTAAAGCAACCAGTCTACTCAGAATTCATTTATATCATTATTTTCTTTTATAGAATATTCCAAAGGTCTTCCTGGTCTCCCAACTTCATATGCTGCTTTGCTAAGAATCAAGAAAAGTTCATCCTCATCTCTCTTTGGATCAAAGACCAGACCATGGTACAGCAGTCCTTCTTTAGGGACATTGAGTGTTTCTTCACCAAGTTGGCGCGGGGCAGCTCAACATTACTATTCCCCCATCAACCTCTACCACTCCTCAGATGCCTTCAAACAAGATGGTAAGTATGAAAGAAAATTTACATAGATGGAGCTAAACAAGCCAGGAAGACTTGAACAAGACTCTTAACACAGGAGAGAGAGACTGAACTCAACTGTGCTGTAACAGAAGGCAAAATAAATTTTTAGAGGTAAAATGAGTTAGGCAATTTGGACTTTAGAGCAGGGCTTGGTCAGTGTCATAAACCCATCTGTGTTTGTTAATTGGTACATATGAAAGTTAAGGTCCTATCCTCTCACAAAGCCAGGGTGGTTCTTCTATGTTTCTTAACTGCATTTCAAATGGGTAACTCACACACACCTCGAGACAGGTACTGGTGCTTTGTGAAAAATGGCAAGAGACTGGGAGATTATTGAAATCTCAAAGGGGCAGAGAATGAATTGAGAATTGCAAATTTTTTAAATGTTCTAAGAAAAAGGCAGGTCGGAAGACTATAGTCAGGAAAAAAATAAATGTTATTAAGTTGAGTAGAATATTAAGGCTGTCTTGGTCATAAGTTTGCTTTCTGTTCTTAATAGCTCTCACGATATTTTATGTGTTTAATTATTTAATTATATTCAATAGCAATGATGCTTTAGGATTAAGATAAGTACACTCAGAGAAAAGCTACATGTTTTTGAATAGCAGTTTGGCATTGAATATTAATAGATTTCAAAGAGTCATATTGTTCAATTCAATGATTTTATCTCTACATAAATATTCTGTGAAAGTAAATAAGTAAAATACACGAAGATGTATGCTCATACTGATTATCATTATTTTTGAGCAGAAAATAAGATACTTGTTAAGTTCAGAAGTGCTCTTCAGCTATTGATATTATGGTTTGAAAAACATTTTCTAAATATTTTCTAACATTGTCATGATTGGACGTAATAAAATAAAATCAGGTTCATTAACAATCAGAGTAATACACTAACACCTAATAATTACCAGGCTCTGTGCCTGCCTCATGTATATAGCTAATCTCATTGGGGTTCTTCAACAAATAAGTGAGGTGGATATTTGTAATGTCCTGTACATGAGTGATAACTCAGGGCTAGATAAGCATCTTTTATCAGGTCACACTGATAATAGGGTAACTGGTTTTCATTTCAATATCTACTGACTTTAAGACCAATATACTTTGGGCTAGATCTCAGTTATGACTGATGAAGGACTAAATATTCAAACATACATTTTGTAAGATCTAAATATTTAGAAAGATTCTAATGTTAAAAATTCAAATACCAGTTCAGTTTTGGTGCTAGGCATAGGCAAATCATTCCTCCTGATTATACAAATTGTTTCCCCTGTGGATCATCATCTTTTAATGTTGGCAGTTAAATTTTATTGGTGCATGGTGATAGCACCCTACAAATACATTTTATTTTTCAAAATACATATTAGTATAAATTTTACATTCCCATTGTATTAAATTTAATGCCGTAAATAGGCTGGGTTATGTTGAGTTTTGTGTTCTTTAGATTTGTGTCATTTATGGGATGATGTGAAGGTACAATACATTGAGTTTTCACACTATGAGCTACTTATGGTTGATATAATTTCCTACCAACCAATCTTTTCCTCTTTTATTCTCTTCTTCCAAATGGAAGTTAAGGACCTCACAAAGATATATGAAATACAGTTAGAAAATATGAATTAAAACACATGAAAATTATGAAAACAAACATTTGGGCACAAGATAGAGCAAGGCATGAGACTGATCGATGCAAAGTGTCTATTTTTAATGCCTATTATTATACTAGTTCTCTATATAACTATCAGATGTTGATTCCATTTTTGGTGATTAGTAGCCAAGGAAGCAAACAGTATAGTCATTATATATTACATAATAATCAAACTTTTTTTTTTGCAGTACTTGGGATTGAACTCTGGACCTTTGCACTGAGCTATATATCCTCAGTACTTTTTAGGTTTTTTGACACAAAGTTTTGCAAAGGTGCCCAAATTTGCAATCCTTCTGCTTCAGTCTCCTAGTATTAAAATTTCAAACTAGAATAGTTACTCAATCGAAGCACAACTGTTTTTGAAACTAGCCAGATTTTTCTGAAGGGCCCTCATGAAGAGTTTATTATTTGATACACGCCAGTGATCTGAACATTATTTTTACTGTATAAATAATAAGTTTCAACCTTTTCAGTATTGGCAGTTTAAACCCAAATAACAAAAACAAAAGAAATAATTCTATAAATCTGTGATCTATGATCATAAATATATTCAAGAATCATTTAAGAATCTTGTTACAATATAGATCCCCATTCAAAAATAGAAGTAGGACCAGACTACCTTGTTTGTAAAAAGCTGTAGATGCTACTGCTGCTCTGTGGATTATACTTCAAGTAGCAAGGCCCTAGTCTTAGAATCAATTTAATATAGTTTAAGTCTTCTGCTGATCTATTTTAAGCATATTTTAGAATATCTGGAGGAATGGATAATTTGAATATTTTCTAAGTAATTTTCCATAACTATTGTTTTCTCCACTCATCATTTGATAGATCTTGGCTAGATGTGACTTTGAATTCTTTCTCTCTGACAAGAGTCTGACATATGGCTTTTGTCAGGTAATTCCCTTTAGCCTTGATAGAGAGTAAACCAGAAGCTGACATGCTCTTGTGAAAAATGAGAAAACTAACGGACCTTGAATACAAAGTCTTCCCACTCCTGCTCAGAGTTAAGCCAAGAAGTACCATAGATGGAACACCGACTTTTGTGAGAAATGTAAAATCCCAGTTGGCAGAGCAATTTAGGGAAGCAATGTCACTCCTGGATATTTACCCTGGTGAAACTCTCCCATACATATACAAAATAAAATAAAATGTACATTCACTGTAATTTAAGTTTAATATAAGTGAAAACTGAAAAATTGCAGCTATCGGTAAGGAAATTATATACATCAATTGTAGGTTTTTTTCCCCAATTGAAAACTTATATAGTTAAAAATAAACTGATTATATCTTTATGAAACTAAATGGATATGATTTAACTTAGAAAGATAATTATTAAATATTACATATAGTAAGTCATTTAGATAAAACAATATATGCATACATTTCTCAAGAACAATTTTCAACATGAACTTGTAGCACTTGCCTCTGAAGACCAAGTGAGGATAACAGTAGGAAAATACTAGGAATATAGAGAACCAAAACTTTTAGGGTATTTAATTCTAAAAAATCTAAAACAAATATGGTGACAGCTGCAGGAAGTACAGGTATCTGAAATGGCTCACAGTGATTCGCACCTCCTGGTTCTTACACTGTAATCTCTGCACTTGAGACTACAGCTATTATTTCTGGAGAACAAATTGTAGCAAACGTAATGGGGTATGATTTTGAACAGTGGGTTACAAAACACTGTGGCTCTGTCTTGTTTTCTCTTGTTTCCTCTTTGGTTTGCTCTTGCTTATAGAAGTCAGTTCATGCTGGGAGCTCTCCTCTTGAGAAGTCCACTGAGAATGGCCTCTGGCCCACAGATCTTGAGCACCCAATGCACTCAGTCCAACAGTAGAAACTGAATCCCGCCAATAATCAAGAGTGAGTTCACATATGGATCTGTGCCTATTTGACACTTGGAATGGAGCTACTATCCCACCTTTTGAAAGATACGGATTTAAGCACCTATTTAAACTATGTTTGGTTTCCTAACCAATGGAAACAGTGAGATATAAAGTATTTAGCTTTTGTTTATTTTCTTTTTTATTTATATATTAATTGGTACATTTTAGGTATACAATACATTTACACTTATCATTGGGTGTTTGTACCTGAACATGATGTATCTTAGTTCTTATTTTTCCCCCATTACCTATGCACCCTTCACCCCCTCCACCCTTCCCTATTTACATAGACTTTGTTTCCATTTTTTCTTTCTCATAATTT